GCAGTTTTGGTGGAAGAAGCTCTGGCAGTCCCTATGGTGGTGGTTATGGATCTGGTGGTGGAAGTAGTGGATATGGGCGCAGAGGGTTTTAAAAAACAACAGAAAAGGGCTACAGTTCTTAGCAGGAGAGAGAGCGAGTTGTCATCAGGAAAGTTGCAGGTTACTTTGAGACAGTCGTCCCAAATGCATTAGAGGAACTATAAAAATCTGCCACAGAAGGAACGATGATCCATAGTCAGAAAAGTTACTGCAGCTTAAACAGGAAACCCTTCTGGTTCAGGACTGTCATAGCCACAGTTTGCAAAAAGTGCAGCTATTGATTAATTGCAATGTAGTGTCAATTAGATGTACATTCCTGAGGTCTTTTATCTGTTGTAGCTTTGTCTTTTTGTTCCTTTTCATTACATCAGGTATATTGCCCTGTAAATTGTGGTGGTGGTATCAGGAATAAAAAATTAAGGAATTTTTAACGCTTCAATATTTGTGTAGTTCAGTTTTTCTATACTTTAGTACAGAAACTTTAACAAAATGCAGTTTTGAAGGTGTTTCCTTGTGAGTTAACAAGAAAATCATTGTTAATACTATTTTGTATGAATTTTGCTAAAGTTAACTGTAAAGAAACACCTACTGACTTGCACATTAAGGGGAAAAAAAATCTATGCTCCCCATTTCAAACCATGATACAAATGGGCACTGACATGTGGAGAGAATAGACATTTGTATGTTTGCAATGTGTGTTTTAGATAAAATAGGATTGGGTATTTAAATTAGCATATTCGTGAATTTAATAGCATTAAGATTACTTTCAAATGAAAAAAATCTCAAAATTCTTACAGCTTTATGCATTTTCTTTCAAAATGTATTCATGATTTTTAATGTATTAGATTTGCTGAGTCCTAGCTGTATTTAAAACATCTCCATTCTGTATTTACCTTGGTCACATTTAAACTGCTGCCTAGTGTTTGGGTAAAAAGGAATGTCTACTGCCCTCTACTAAGTTCTGGAATTGGGTAGTGGATGTTTTCCATCTTCTACATTAAACCAACTTTTGGGATACAGGCTCACTAAGCCTGCTATGTCTAAGAAAATTAGTGGACACTTGGTTTTGATTTTTCTTTTCAAAGCACACAAGAGGCCCAGTTTTAAATCTTGAGGTTTTTTCTTTTTTCCCTTCTCCCAATACGAACATTCAGAGCAAGAGAATAAAAATCATGCATTACTGAACCCTTAACTAGCTGACATGCTTTCTCCTGTTTTTTACCCTACATGTTTTATTGAATGAAACCAAGGATAGTTTAGATATAACTGTTCAAAACCATTTAATGCAGCAGAAATGTAGCACAGTTGCTTAGTACAAGCAGAGCACACTCTCCCCAAGACCTGGATTCAAATTTGGATAATCTTCAAGTTGTTAAATTCCCAAAGAATATATTGTGTTATTCCTTGTGTATATTGTAAACTAAATCATGTTGCTGTGCATTGTCAATTTGTTTGGAAGACTCTGGTTTAGAAGTTTCAGATTTTAAGGTCTCACACACACACATATATATTATTGTCTACTGTTTTGTGCCAGCTAGTTCTTACAGTTTCTTTCGTTGAAGCCCTAAGTATGTGCCCTGCTGTTACTTTTTCTTTGGCAGTTGAACATTGAATTCAAGATTTTTATTTGGTTTTAAAAGTACTAAGCAAAACAAGCAATAAAAAAGGGGGAATGGGGAATGCTAGTGTTTGAATATGCTATCTTGTTTCTCTAATTCTGTGCCTCTGTGCATTATTAATACTTGGATGTTAGGAGTCAGGGAGATGGCTCAGTGGAATAAGTGCTTCCCTGGCAAGAGCAAGGGCCTGAGTTCAATCCCTGGTTCTGCAAAAAACAAAACAAAACAAAAACTTGGATACATGGGGCTGGTGAGATGGCTCAGTGGTCTAGAGCACCTACTTGGAACAAGCTTGGCAAAGCACAGGGACCACGGTTCAATCCCCCAGCACCACATGCCAGTCAGCCCTGCCCCCTGGTGGGCTGAGTGGCCACCCACACCCACACCCACACCCACACACACACAAATAAATAAAAAAATTTTAAAAAAATTAAAAAAAAAAAAACTTGGATACATGCAATGCCAACATGGAAATCAGTCTTCACAGATACTGCAGTTTTCCAGAAAACACAAACCAATAAATGTAACTGACAACAGTCCATTTGTTAATGGGCATATGTGAATAAGCAGTGTAGAAAATAGGCTAATATTAGAAAATGGTTAAGTCCTTTATAACTCAAAGTGTGGTTATATAAATGGACATTGTCAATGTTCATAATTTAAACCTTGGGTACCTGGTCAAAATATTGCTTGGGAAACATTTTATTAAAATTGAGCTAAATTCTCTCA